CCCCCCCCCCCCTTGTCTCTCTCTCCCTGTCTCTGCCCCCATTCCCCTCTCTTTAAAATCAGTAAAACATCCTCAGGTAAGGATTCAAAAAAAGAATGGGGATTCAGGTCATGATATTGTGCCACATATTTGGACTGCCCATTAGCAATCAGTATTTACTGCCCAGTATTACCAGCTTTAGCTAGATAAAAACTTTTACTAAGAATGATAAAACTTCTGAGACATACCTATAATAAAAACTATCCAGCGATAATTTATCAAGTTAAAACAGACAAATGACCAAAAAAATTTATATATTAACAAGTAAAAAAACACCTTGTTTATGGGAAAGTTTCCTCTTCTAACCACTACAAATACATCCTAATGTTTCTGCTGCTTCACATCACTCAGATGCTTATATATGTTTACTTTTATATGAACACAAGATAAAGAGAGTGGTATATGCTAATTTCAGATTTTTTAAAAGCAAAGATCTACTATTGGACAAAATGCAAGTATAAAGTATATATTAAATAAGGAGTATTATTTGGATAAAATTGTTTTCTGGGGCTTTCTTGGGATTATTTCTAGAATTCATAGATATTAACAGATCTTAAATATTAAATTTATATTGAAAATTAGGCTATAGAAGAATTGACAAAATTATATAATAAGAGATAATTTCCACTCATTAAAAGCATAAAAAAATGTTTAAAGCACTTATTAGTACTCTAAATTGAAATTTATAGAAGCAAAAAAAATCTAGTCCCAGAACCAAAGGAAGGGAATCAAAACATAGATTACAGGTGAACACTAACTTCCCTATGGTCTAAATGACCTGAGGACTGGATTTTCTAATCTTGTATGAGAAGAGGAGATCTAGACATGACCCTTTCATGAAGCTTCGTCTTTTTAGGGAAGGCTCAGAGAAACTTGATTGTTTGTCCAGGGGCTTGTAAAAAATGAAAGAAAGACAAATAAAAGAGGAGCTACCAGCACAAAACCAAAACCCTAAACTTGTGCCATACCACATATAGGATAGTACATGATGCGAGAATAAGAATTGCAAAACAACAAATAAATATTGAAATTTCTAGAACCACTGCAAATTCAGGGACAGTGCAGAAGCCAGTGTATATTTATGCTGTAGGACCATATGCTCCTAGGGTCATAATGCAGACAAAGGAAAGCATGATAAAAGAATAGGCAGCATATTAAATAAAAAGTTAATTAATATGCTGCTAAAAATACAAAGTTAAATTTACTTCTAGCCTGACCAGTGTGGCTCAGTGGTTGAGCATCGACCCAGGAACCAGGAGATCACAGCTGGATTCCCATTCAGGGCACAGGCCCAAGCTGAGGACTCGATCCCCAGTAGGGGCGCGTGCAGGAGGCAGCCGATAGATGATATTTGCAATGTTTCCCTCTCACTGATGTTTCTATCTTTCTACCCCTCTCCCTTCCTCTCTCTCTAGACATCAATAAAAACATTTCTTAAAAAACTACTTTTAGAAATGCATAAAATTTTAATTGAAAATAAAAATCAATGGAAAATTAAACAAACAGATTAGAGGCACAACTGAAGAGTAACTCATCCAATAAATGTGAGCTCACTCCCCAGAATGCAGCACAGTAAAGAGGGAAAAAAATGAAATGGACATTAAGAGACATTGAGCATAAAAATGGGTAAACCCAACACTTTTTTAATGGAAATTCCAGAAGTAGAGAACAAAGACTTGAAAAGATGATATTGAACATTTTCCATAACTGAAAAATGGCATGACTCTTCAAGTTATCATAGCATAGAAAAAATGGCAGCTCAGTAGCCAGGAGCAACCTTGTCCCGGATCTTGGTTTCTAATAGCATTCTCCAACAGAAGAAACCAGCGCTCCTTGGAGAAATGGCCGATAACTGACTCTAGGACTGGGTCAGGATATATGTAAGTTAACCCTGAGCAACCTACAGGGCTAGAAAATAAGGTAGTGTCCAAAAGAAATGCCTGAGTTGATGGGGTATGTCAGAGGGACACAGGAACCGACTTAAAGAGCTTCCCCTGGCTGAAGCTGGAACAATGGGAGCAATAAAATAAGCCAAGTAGCATGAACCCTGTGGATAAAACTACTTAAATTCAAATAGAAATTGATCATCAAGGACATCTTTACCGTAAATTCTGTTTCAAAGCAGAATAAAGCCAGCTTTCAATTGATGTCACATTCAGAGTGGTGATAGTTTGTTCAAATGCATACGAATTAGTCCTGTATATGCCTCATGCTTTCGTTGGATTACATTTTCATTTCTTATGGCTCCATTATTTTTCAGGCCTTTTCTTTTTAGAATTCTTAAATATATCATGCTTTAGTTTTTTAGGTGTTTAGGACTCTGCCAACCTTTTTTTCCCTCTCTCTCTCTAAAATAAATAATTTAGTTTTTTCATATGCCATATTGCCAGCCAGATTAACTTCAGCTCTCTATTATGAGCACCAATGTTCTTTCCATTCTTATATCATTAAATATAGAATAAGTGAGATTATCTTTTATTTCTTATATTTGCCAACTTTATAAAATCTATAGAGTTAATCATTTTGACTGAATGAAGAAACTGAAACTGGCTACACACGTACAAACCATTCTCACTCAAATAATCTAACTTTTCTATTTACCATGATGTTTTTGCTACCAGCTGTCTGATAGACTATATTCTTATCTTAAAGATCTAGTTTTCTTAGAATTTTAGGCTTTATAATATTTTTTCTTAGTATAACTCACATGCCATAGAAATTTTGGCAATTGCTTGGTTTACTGCAGCTCAAAGCACTGACTTGATTTCCCTTCATGCCTTTGCTATTCTCTTCTGTTAATGAAATAAGCCTCATTTAGAGACATAGTCTAGTTTAGTCATATTTTTAAAAAACTAAAAAACATGTTATTTAGATTATGAATTAAGACATTTCCTCTGTGGAGTAATTATATGGCTCTACTGCCTATGGTATTAAAACATGAAATAAGCTCCAATGCGTAGATTTGCATACTAACTAATGTCTACTTATTGCTCTGGGTAACTGTAAATTCTCACTAGTGTTTGTTAAAATTATTTGGCAAAGATTCTAAACCACTCAATGAACATGAACCTGAATCCTTCATCCTACTGATGTCCAGAGTTGAATTATTAGCTGCTGTCTGAGATGTTTTTTCTTCAGTCTTCGTATTTGAATACATACAATGTTATTGGTAAATTATTTCTGCAAATTATTCAATTTCTAGCTATTGTTTGTGGGGATTGTTTAAAGACTATAAAATGCACTTTTATCAAATCTATACTTTTTTATCAAAACTCCACCTTTATCAAATGGAGTTTTACCATTTTCCTTTATGGAAATACTACCTGACCTTGAGTAACTTACCCCCACCTCAGGCACACCAGCTTGAATTTACAGTATATGTATCAAAGGAATTGCTCAGCTTTATTTAATTTGTTGAATTCGATAAAAATAGTTTTACATCTTTAATGTATATCACTTTGAAGCTGTGAAGAATTATCACTAGACTTCCTAGCAGTTCAAATGATATTCAAATATGTGACTTTCTCTGAAAATCCTGTCAATTCACTTTTCTTAGTTCCCTTCAGATGAAACCATTATACCTTCAATTATTATAACCAGCATTTATTAAGCACAAACTATGCAACGGGTGCCACGTTAAGCCCAAGAGTATACGGCGAAAACTCCTGCAAAGGGACTTGGAGCCTGGAGGGACAGATAGACATGTAAACTGCTCTTATATGAGGTGCTGAGTANAAAACTCCTACAAAGGGACTTGGAGCCTGGAGGGACAGATAGACATGTAAACTGCTCTTATATGAGGTGCTGAGTATTTAATATAGAAACAAAAGAGGACTTCAGTGGCATGAAACAGGGAGTGTCCAGCCCGGGACTTGAATGACAGAGAACAGCAAGACGGGTAGAGAGAGGAGTTGTTTCCTTGAGTCTTGGGGTTGAGGTATCCGCCCGGAGCACAAGAGGGGGAGTCAGTGCCGGTAAAGGAAGCAGCATGAACACATGGGAAAATGAGGAACAGATGACATATCTGTGAAGCCTTCAGTTGCAGGTGCTTCTGAGAAGAGTTGCAGAAAATGAGAACGGAAAACTAAGCCAATAGCAAAAATAAAAGATTTGTAATGCCTTGATTAGAGGTTTGGGTTTATGTAATAGCTAATGGTCAGCCTTTGACTGATGAAGAGATACTTTGAAAGTACAATCTGTAGAACTTGCTGATCAATGGAGGGAGGGCTGAGAGAAGAAGAGTTGTCTAGACATCAACCTTGGACAACTATTAGAATCACTAACATATTTAATAGTGTGAAATCTAAAAATGATTAAAAGGAGTATTCAAATTTAATGAAAACATCACAAGATAATGCTTTTATTTGTTGTTTTGTTTTTTTCCCCAGTGGGAGAGATTTCTGAAGTTTGCCCAGAAGCCACTGATTTTTTGTGCCACGACAAGAAGTGCATTGCATCCCACCTTGTCTGCGACTATAAACCAGACTGCTCGGATAGGTCTGACGAAGCTCGCTGCGGTAAGCATCTTTGTTCCATGCTGCCAATTCAGCACAGCTTTTCACTTTATTTGTAGAGAAACATATTGGCATTGATAACTGAGAAGAAATGTTCTTTTCATGCACTGGAGTAGAGTTAAAATAGCCAAAACATTTTTTCTACTTCTCTATGAAAATATCCAGATGGCAGTCCTCTCATTCTTTTTACTCCTATACTGAAAACTGCAACAAATCTATAGCAAATCATGTTACGAAAATTTCCCATCAGACCATTGTATAGAACAGTGAGTGGAGTCAGAATTAAAACTGTCAGACTCTGAACTAGCAGGCTACATTTCTCCATTGATTTTCATTACTGTTTCTATTTCTTTTTATAAAAAATGTTGATTTTTATAGATCAAGCTAAAAATTAGCACTTGAAATAAATACTAGTTTAGTGACTAATTTTTCAATTACATTACACTGGAAAAAGAGGACATGATGAGCCACATTATTTATTTTTATTCAAGCTGTAATTCAAGTGATTTTTTTAAAAGTCATGTATAAAACCAAGTATGCATTTTTAAAATATGAGCATGGATCAAAATCCAAATACATTTTTTTCATATATCTTACCGGTGAGCATTCATGTGGAACCTTGATACCGTACAGGCTACCTGTTGCAGTTAGCATTTGCTGCATAACAAACTACCTCAAATTTAGTGGCCTAAACAAGTTTCATTTTACTCACAATTTTGTGGGTCAGTCATTCAAGAAGGAATCAGGTAGGCAGTTTGTCTCTGATCACATGGTTCAAACTGGTACGACTGTAACTGGGTGATCATTTCCAAGATGTCTCCATCCCTTCTGAGTCTGGCACATTGGAATTCTTTGGTTTCTCTGTCTGACTCAACAAGGTATCTCATCTTCCAGGGCAATCTCTGTGGGTTGGGCTTTTAATAACATGGTTGTCACAGGGGAGCCAGATAACTTGAATGGAATTGGCTTTTACCAAGTGAATGCTCCAAGAGCACGTATTGCAAGAGCCTCAAGAAAATTAGCATGAGTTTTTTTGAATTAGCCTCAGAAGTTCCAGAATGTCACTCCTGGCACTCCTTATTGGTCATACAAATAATAAAGTCTAGCCTAGGTTCAAAGAGAAAATGTGAACCGACTCCACCTCTCAATGGGAAAATGTCACCCCATGCACAGGGGAGGAGTCCCATGTGTCATGTTTAAATTTTTATTTTTAGCTCAGTATCAGTTTTATTCCTTAGGATCATATTGTGGGGATGCTTCTGAGTGTTCATGTTCTCTTTTTAGCATATTATTTTTTAAATTGTGGTAGAATATAGGTAACATAAAATTTAACATTTTAAACTGTACAGTTCAGTGTCATTAAGTACATTCACATAGTTGTGCAGCCAACATCACCAGCCATCTCTAGAACATTTTATCTTGAAATATTTCTATGCCCATTAAAAAATAACCCTCTATTCTCCCCAAACCCCAGCCCACAGCAACCACTATTCTACTTTTTTTTTAAAATGCATTTGACAACTCTAAGTATCTCATATAAGTGGAATCATACAGTATTTGTCTTTTTTTGTTAATGGCTCATTTCACTTGGCATAATGTTCTCAGCATTCATCCCATATTTTAGTTTTAAATCAAAGTATAAAAAGAAGTGAAAATGATTTTCATTTAAAAAATGATATTATGAATACTACAGTATTATATCCTTAATTTAAAATGAATTATATATTTTCTTTATAATATATGTATTTTCAAATGAAATTTATAATACATTGAACAGTACTTTCTAATGTTATTTCTAACTTCTTTTAAATGCAACAAAAATCCATTTTTTAAATTGATTATATAGAGAGGAAGTTTCCCTTAGATTAGAGAGAGAGAGCAAGATAGAAAGGGAGAAACATCTGTGTGACAGAGAAATATCAATCGGTGACCTCCTGCACTCTCCCAGACCAGGGATCAAACCTGCAAACTGGGCATGTGCCCTGAAGGGGAATTAAACCCATTACCTTTTGGTGTACGGATGATGCTCCAACCAACTGAGGCACACTGGCCAGGGCCAAAATACATTTTTTTTTTGCACACTGGCCAGGGCCAAAATACATTTTTTTTTTATACTGATTGTAAGGACTTGATTTCAATGGAATTCTAAAACAGTGCTTTAAAACAGTTGTAAAATCACCATTTCCCCCAGCAAAACACCAGCAAAACACCAGCAAAACAATAAAAAGTGGGCCAAATTTATAAAGTTTGTAAAGGAAAAACAATTGAAATATGATGGCATCGCCATATATATCCAGTGGAAAAGGAAAACTGTCACATGTGCATAGAAAAGTTACTACAGACAGTAAAATTATCTTCCTCTGCGTAAAGATGTATGTATATTGAAAATATTTATATAAGTATTATACTCTTTCATTTATTCCTCTCCCTAGTATGGCCTAGGAACAACTTTCTAAACATTAAATATGTAAAAACAAACAAAACACTGTTTTAGGCTTCAAAAATTTACTTTGTACCATGGAAAAAAACTATGAAGAAAAATGTATTAAAATATAATGTGGTGGGTTTTTTTTCTTTTTAAAGAAGTTGTTAGTAAATGAAAGGTTTCCTGGCTAATTTTAAAGCATAACAAGTTTATCAACAATAAGGTTATCACAGCTTATCCAGAGAGTGCACATGAAGGACAGTATGTGTATGCACACCTGTGTGTACAATATAGAAATATGCTTACAAATATTGGAAAGAGTTATAGGTATTTTGGTTCTTCAGATGTGAATGCTGCCTATGTTTGTTTGTTTTTTTGCTTCATTCATTTTTCCTCTCAGGCTGTCTTATATATTTTTTTCACAGTTATTTGAGGTATTGATGTAAAAACACACAGGAGGTTTGATTTTCCGAAACTGAAGTTAATTACATATTTATATCTGTTAACGGTATCCACAATTTTGATGGACAACTGCAAGAAATAGTTGAATTTATTAATATAAAAGTAATATGTTGACAAATTAAATAGTCACGTTTCTTACAACCCCTTGATAGACTTTGTTCATATCCAAAAAGAACACTACACAGCACATGCAAATATACAGGGGACTTACTGGTTCTATAAGTTGACTTCATTAATATTTTATATTGATGGTCCTTTAGATATATTCTCCAAAGTAAGTGATCAGGGCTAGATTCCTGAAGCCAGATAATCTATGTGCGTAATGAAATAAATTACAACATTTTCAAAATGACCTTTGGAGAAACATAAGAAAGAATTGACCTTTTGGGTTATTAAACTGAAGTCTTCATTTTGACTTTGACTCTCACTTGTTGGGCAATTATTTAAATTCTCAAAGACTCACTTTCCTCACCTGTTTAGTAGATATAATAACACCCATCTTATTGAGGATTAAATGAAATCATGTAAAGAATTAATAATGTTAGCTTCTTCCATATCATTTCTACATTCTCTTTAAATTTGTGAGTCATGTCCTATTTACATGCCCTTTATACTTCTCAGAAAATAAATGCAGTTATTTCTCACGACTAAATTTTTACTGTAGGTAAAATTTACTGTAGATAACTTTTTCTTTTGCGTCTTTACCTCCTGTTGCAAAATGGTTAATAACAAGTAAGATCGATTATTTAAAAAACAATAGTTAAGTCATAGAATGTGCTCTCTCCTTTCATGAAAGAAAATTATCACCTAAACCATGTATCAGTTCTCAGTTGGGGTGCTTTCTGGACATGCCGGTGGTCGCTTTCCCTCCTGCCCCTTATAGAGGCAAACATCCTTATTCAGTCATGTCACTCTTTCCCATGCTACCCAGATTCTTAAAAGTCCTTTTCAATGCAGCAAAGAAGCCATTTCACAATGAGGAGAAACGATTCAATGTTCCTGTATTATGCATTATGGTATGGCAAAATATGGTGGACATGTGGATGTAAGGAATTAAACATAATTATGAAGCTATCTCTTAAAAAATATGTTAGTGATCAATATTTACACTGACTATACAACCATATTATGCCACTGGGAAAATGCCCATTGTTTAGAAGAGTGTTAGTAATGCTCTGACTCCTTCAAGGAATCATGCTAAAGATCACAATTTAGAAAATAGTTTTTCTAAAGCAATAGCAATTTTAAAAATATAGATGATACATATTCCTCATCAAGAAATATTAAAAAGACTTCATATTATCCATCATTCAATAATTATATATGGAAACTCTTATAATATATATAATGTGGTTCACTAGTAATTACTGACCACATGGAAACATTTAGAGTAATGCAATGGTAAACAGCAAGTAAAATGACAATATAAAATAAACAAGTAATGAATTTCCAAATTAATAGTAACAACTATAATGGCTGTTGAGTGCCATAACACACATCGCACCCTGAGAACTGACATGGTCTGCAAACGGAGAGATAGCACATAAGTTGGACAATCAAGAAAGCATATGATTTGTTAGATGCAACAGAGAAGATAAAAATACTTGTAGCAGAAATTCCAACCTTAAGCAGTTTAGATAGACAGTAAGCCCTGCTAGTTGCCTTTCATTTATTTTTGTTCCTTAAAAACAGAACTCCAGTTTTATTTGGGGCAGCATTGTGACCAGCTACAAAAAATCATCATCTCCAATCTTCCTTATAGCCACCATAGACCAATGCGATATACTTGGGAATTTGGGGAGGCGTGCCTTTCAGAAAGAAAAGGCACTTTCCTCTTTCTGTTTCCTTCAATGCCTTGAATATTTGTGACCTTGAGAAGTACAGCAATAATCTTGCAACCACACATGAGCATGAGGGTGATAAGATGACAACATGGAAAGATGGGGAATGTGCGCTTCACACTGCATGGTTGAACCACAGTGCGAACCTTAAACTGACAACTTCCCCGCTTATTGTTAATTGAGACAAATTAATTCCTGTCTGTTTGAATTACTGTTATTTGGGTTTTCAGTTTCTTGGATTCAAATGCAATTTTCACTGATACAGACGATAAAAATTTATCTCAGATAGAAGTCTAAAAACAAGAAAGCTCTAGATTTTAAGTAACTTTTTTTATCATACTTTTATTATCTCTGACTGGCTTGTTTCACTTAGCATAATACTTTCTAGTTCCCTCCATGCTGTGCCAAAGGATAAAGGATCCTTCTTTTTTATAGCTGCATAGTATTCCATGGTGTAAATGTACCACAGCTTTTTTATCCACTCATCTACTGATGGGCACTTGGGCTGTTTCCAGATCTTAGCTATTGTGAATTGCACTGCTATGAACATAGGGTTGAATAAGTTCTTTGTGATTGGTGTTTTGAGTTCCTTAGGATATATTCCTAGAAGTGGGATCACTAGGTCAAATGGCAGGTCAATTTTTAATCTTTTGAGGAAACTCCATACTGCTTTCCATAGTGGCTGCACCAGTCTGCATTCCCACCAGTAGTGCACTAGGGCACCCTTTTCTCCACACCCTCGCCAACACTTGTAGTTCCTTGACTTGTTGATGGCAGCCATTCTGACAGGTGTGAAGTGACACCTCATTGTGGTTTTAATTTGCATCTCTCTGATGATTAGAGACGTTGAGCATTTTTTCATATGTCTCTTAGCCATCTGTATGTCCTCTTTGGAGAAGTGTCTATTTAGGTCTTTTGCCCATTTTTTAATTGGATTGTTTGTCTTCCTTTTGTTAAGTTGTATGAGTTCCTTATATATTTTGGATATTAACCCTTTATACCACGTGATCTCACTTGTATGTGGAATATAATAAACAAAATAAACTGATGAACAAAATGGATCCAGAGACATAGAAGCATAGAACAGACTGAGGGATCTCAGAGGGAAGGTGGGGAGGAGAGAGTGGGTGGGGAGAGACTAATCAGAGAACTTACATGTTTATAAGCATAACCCATGGACACAGACAATAGTGTGGAGAAGGCCTGGGGGTGGGGTGGATGCGGGGTGGAGGGGATCAATGGGGATAAAAAGGAAACATCTGTAATATTTTCAACAACAAAGATGAAGAAACTTAAAAAAACTACACCCAGCAATATTTTAAAACAAAACAAAGCAAAAAAGATTTTTTAAATTAAAATAATATATATATACTTTTATTATCAAAAGTATACATCTTTTTTATGCTCTGCCAGCTACAGATAACTGATTTTCTTATAAAGTCAGCTCCTCCCCATATAATCTCTTCAGTCCTGATTATCTCACTTTTGCAATGATATCCTGAGAAAGGGCAAATAGACTTTCTTCCTTTTGACTTATTTTTAAGAAAAAAGAAAAACTTTTCCTAGGTGCCTTTTCTCCAATAAGTCCCATTGTCTAGCATTGTATCCCAAGGCTATGCCTAAACTAATTAAGAAAATTGCCCAGCTGATGTGGCTCAATGGTTGAGTATCGGCCTAGGATCCAGGAGATCGAGGTTCCATTCTGACTCAGGGCACATGCCCAGGTTGCAGGCTCAATCCCCAGTAGGGGATGTGCAGGAGGCAGCCGATCAATGACTCTCTCATCACTGATGTTTCTATCTCTCTTTCTCCCTCTCCCTTCCTCCCTGTGAAATCAATAAAAACATATTTAAAAGAGAAAAAGAAAAGAATAGCGACCATCATATCACAATTGCTGAAATAAACCATGAGTCAGCCCTGGAATGGAGAAGGGAGCTGTTTCACCCATGAAACACATATCTGAGTGAAAGAGCTTTATATCAGAAGAAAATTGTGATTCTGTCCTGAGCAAGATAGGGAAGGAATGACTGACAAATGAGCACCCAACTGCTAGAGAAAACATTTAAAAAAGTGAGAAGTAGTCTTAAACATAAAAGTTGAAAATAGTCTATTTTTATTTAAGAGATACTTTTCTGAAAAATTTGGTTGGCAGGCAGTTTTAAACATGAGACAGATTTCAGCCTAAAAACAGTTTGCATTACAGGAAAGGTTACTGTATTCAAGGCGAGATTTTGGAGAGTATCTTCAGACAGTGTGAAAACTTGAATATTTTTAGCAAGGGAAATAAAGTTAGAACATTCTTAAAGATGATTAATGTGGTTTGTGTTTGTAAGGTTGAAGCCTACATTACAGAAAGAGACTCAATTAAATCAGGGGGTTGAACCAGTGGAACTGGAATGGGGACTCTGGAACTGCAAGGAGGGAAATGAATTAAATAAGTTTTCAAAGGGAGAAGCTATAGGTATCGGTGATAGATTGGATATACAAATGAAGAACGTAGAATCAAAGATAACTCCAAAGTTTGAATCTTTAGAAAGAGAGAGAAGATTCATGCTATGAAATTAATCAATAATCTCAAAGAGAAGAGCCCATTTGGGGAGGTGAATAATGAATTTGTTATAGGCTTTTTGGCTTCCAGGTGATGACTGCGTGTTACAAGTGAAATGTTCAACGGGCATTTGAAGATAGACACCTGCCTTTCATCCTGGCGGTAGATTTGTAGGCCATTTGCATAAAAGTGTGAAGGGCCATGGGACAGGATGCTTGAAGATATGTAGAGTGAGAAATTTAAGCAAATAAATACATAGTCTTTTAAATCCAGGACACCATGACCATGTCTGCAAGTTATAGGAAAGGAATTAGTAGAGAATGGGAGATTGAAGAGCATGGAAAAGTTGTGTAACTTTGAAATAAATGAGGCTGTGGGATGCTAAATGCAGTGTTGCTAAGGAGGAGAGATCATAAACAGAGATTAGCACTAGGGAGGAAAAGGGACCTAATTTGAAGTAGAGAGACTGAAATATAAGAGAATGGATCTTGATTGTATAGATTATCCTTAGAGTCAAAGATAAAGGTCATATATTGAATAAATTGGAGCTAGAGGGAAAAGGGTGGTCACAGAGAACAGAAAAAGATGTAGGATAATTATTGGAGGGCCTGTGTGTCAGGGAGTTAGCTACACAGACATACAGCAGTGCAGAACCTGCATGTGATATTATTCTGAAGAACCCGCAATGGCTGTCTTGTTTGTACATTGGCAGATTCTGCATGTTTGCAGTTGTGTTAACTAAACACCCGGAGAACTGAATCTCTCACTTTCATCCATATTGTTTGCATAATATCAACCTATCTATACCATAGGTTTGGTACTGAAAAGCATAAAGAAAGATATACAGGGCCCATAGAGAAACACATAAAAATCAATGGATTGTAAGTTATGTAGAATGAATGAAAGAAAGGTACATAATTAAAAATGATTTTACATTTGGGCATAAGATGCCGTCATGCCTGGGATGTGAAGTGCTAATACTTTATGAAAATACTCTGAGATCCAGAATATTGTCTATAAAAATATGAAAGCTGTGTTTGCTATATGTTTGGTGTCCATTTTAACAGCAAGTTTTTCCTTCTGTTGAAGTTTCTATAGGCTAACATTAGTTTTATGTTAAGAAAAAGTGTTAAGCGAGAAACCACGTGAAGAAGAAATGTTAAAAATAACACAAACTTCATCTTTCTGGGGGGGAAAAAAAAGGAAAAGTCAATGACAGTCTCAGTTGATTCATGCCGATTCAGTCACCCAATAATTCATTTTTACGGTGGTTGCTCTAATACAATAACTGCTGCGCAAAACAAGAAGAAGAAAAATGAAAGCAGATATCAGGGTGTGATGATGGCACTTTTCACAGCTGACTAGCTATTATCTCAACTAGCTATTAGCACAACAACTCAGTTATTACCTAGGACTCTCTATTGTGAATAACTTAATTTTAATGAGTTATCAATCAGCACTTTTAGTAGAGAACGTCTCTCATTATTTACTGCCTAGCGCTGAGATGCTGTACGTGGGTGATTGGTGTGGTATGCAGAAAGGGTTTGTGTCCATACAGTTCACTGTTTCTCCCAAAGGCACCTTTTCTTTAGTAAATGATTTTGTCTCTCTAATGGTCTATGCTGTTCAAACACCAGAGTACACAGGACAACTGAAGATATTGATTTATTGGAACTGAGTTATCATCAGTGTTATCATAACTTTATGTTCATTGTTTATATGTAGACAGTTTTATCTTTCATCTATATGTATTATTAGTCAATCCATGTAACTCCTTAATGGATGAATGACAATATTCTTGCACTACTTCTAGACCCTGTGATAAAAAAGCTAGTGTACAGCTGATGTTATCAATGGTTGCAAATGTCCTGGTTCTATAAATTTATTTATAAAGATTTAGGATATACAGACACTAATTAAAATCACCACTAATGTAGTGTAATATCAAGTGCGATATGGATTTTCAGAACATTCTGTTAAAATTTTTGTCTCCTTAGGCCAGTACACAACCACAGCAGGAAGCTGCAGTTTTGAAACAGCTTCAGGAAACTGGACCGTGGCCTGCAGTCTTACTCAAGACTCTGGAGATGACTTGGACTGGGCTATTGGCAGCAGAATTCCTGCTGAAGCACTGAGTGCAGACTCTGATCATACACCAGGTAAATCTGCTATAGATACACAGGCCAAGTAAACAACTCCTGGAAACTGTTTTATCTATTTGAGTGAATGCTGGAGTGCATCCCTTATGTATGGGAGGGGCATGGGAGTGGGGGTGGGGAGTAAAAATCAATAGGGCGTATGAAAAGAGAGTTTGTCCTTTCTATTTAACCCGTGAATTACTGAATAGACTCAGAACTGTCATTGCTACTCCATGACTCATATTTTAAGAGACTCACAGATTTTATTTCCTCTACCCTAAATGTATCCCTTAAATCTCCAATCAGGGCAGGGACAAGTAGGGGGCAATCCAATTAATGCATGCAATAGGCAAAGGTTTATAATTAGCAATGATAAGAGTTCTCATGATGCCACAATGGCCAGTAGCCAGCCACCAATTTTATTCTAGTCCCTCTGAAGTGCCAGGACAGAGACATAAAAGGTAAGTGGTGATGGAGGAATGAGCATCTACAAAGTCTTGACAGGTTTTGCTTTGTGCCCTGTGACTTGAGATTAATGTAATCTTTAATGGTTTTACAGTTAATAGAGTTAGAGTATAAGTAGGCTTATAACTTCATTTACTTTGACCCTGAAGTCTTGCCTACTCAGTACTTTTCTTTTCTTAGGAATTAACTTTTCCTAGGAATAAAAAGTAACTATTTTTATAAAAAGTTTTCTTAGTAATAAACAACAACTTAAGAATTTTGCGATGGTTAATTTTATGTATCAACTTAGAGGAGTTATTGGATGAGGTTAATATTTTTTAATTTTTTAAAATATATATTTATTGATTTCAGAGAGAAGAAGAGAGAGAGAGAGAGAGAAATGTCAGTGAGAGAGTCACTGATCAGCTGCCTCCTGCACACCCTCTGCTGAGGATCAAGCCTGAAACTCGGGCATGTGACCTAACTGGGAGTCAAACAGGGATCTCCTGGAGAGTAGGTTGATGGTCAACTCCTGAACCACACTAGCCAGGCAACATTTATTTTTTTTAATCCTCACCAGATGATATGTTTTTATTGATTTTTAGAGAGAGAGGAAGAGAGAGAGAGAGAAGCATCAATGCGAGAGAGAAACATCGATCAGTTGCCTCCTGTACACTCCCCAACTGGGGACTGAACCCAAAACCTAGGTATGGGCCCTGACCAGGAATTGAATCCACAAACTTTTGGTGTACGGGAAGACACTCCAACCCCTGAGCTGCCCATCCAGGACACCATTTTCTTTTCACATTTTACATTCAACATTATTTTGTATTAGTTTCAGGTGGACAACATAGTAGTTAGACAATCATACACTCTGCAAAGTGTTCCCCCTGATATTTCCAGCATCCAATTGGCACCATACATAGTTATTACAGCATTATTGACTATATTCCCTATGCTGTACTTTACATCCCTGACTATTTTGTAACTACCAGTCTGTAATTCTCAATCCCTTCACCTTTTAACCCAGTACCCCAACTCTCCTTCCATCTGGCAACCATCAGTCTGTTCTCTGTATCTATGATTCTGTCTCTGTTTTGTTTGTGTATATTGTTCTTTAGATTCCACATATAAGTGAAACCATATAGTATTTGTCTTTCTCTGAATGTCGTATTTTTCTTAGCATAATACCCTGTAGGTCCATCCATGTTGTTGCAATAATAAGATTTTGTTCTTTCTTATGGGCGAGTAGTATTCCGTTGTATATATGTACCGCAACTATTTTATGCACTCATCTATTGATGGCAGTTAGTTTGCCTCCATAAACAATGAACACAGGTNTTGTATATATGTACCGCAACTATTTTATGCACTCATCTATTGATGGCAGTTAGTTTGCCTCCATAAGCAATGAACACAGGTGCATATATTCTTTCAAATTAGTGTTTTGGGTTTCTTTTGATATATACTTAAAAGTGAAACCACTGGGTGATAATGCAGTTCCATTTTTAATTTTTTGAGGAAACTCCATACAATATTCCACAGTGGCTGCGCCGATCTGCATTCCCACCAACAGTGCACGAGGGTCCCCCTTTCCCCACATCCTCGCCATCATGTGTTGTTTGTTAATGTATTGATGGCAGCCATTCTGACAGGTGTGAGGTGATATCTCATTGTGGTTTTAAGTTGCATCTCTCTGATGATTAGTGATATTGAGCATCTTTTCATATTAGCCATTTATATGTCATGAGGTTAACATTTAAATCAGTAAACTTCAAGCAGATTGCCCTCCATTATGCGGGTGGTCTTCATCTAATCAGTTGATGACTTAAATAGAACAAAACAGATGGGCAGGTCAAGCAAAAGTTAATTTCCCCAACAGGCTGCCTTTGTACTTCATCTACACCATTGACTCTCTTGTGTGTCCAGCCTGCTGGCCCACACTGCAGATCTGAGGCTTGCTGATATCTGCAATCTTATGAGCCATTTACTTATAATAAATATCTTTATATGCATTCTATTAGTTCTGCTTTTCTAGAGAAACCTAACAAATAAAATGTTATTCAGAAGGATAAAAGCATAGGCACAATGAGAAAGAACAAGCTTAAAAGGAATTAAAATAACTTTTTATAGAAAAAGTATATGAGGTTGGCCCAGCCATTTTATGACTAGTGAGAAGAAAACAAGTTTTATTATTTTTATATTTCAGGCCGAGTGAAAATGATAGATGCTTAGTTATAACATGTGTGCCCATACGTATTNGCTAGTGAGAAGAAAACAAGTTTTATTATTTTTATATTTCAGGCCGAGTGAAAATGATATGATGCTTAGTTATAACATGTGTGCCCATTCGTATCNTGGCTAGTGAGAAGAAAACAAGTTTTATTATTTTTATATTTCAGGCCGAGTGAAAATGATATGATGCTTAGTTATAACATGTGTGCCCATACGTATTTAAAGTTGTTCCCTAATTCATTCTCATATTGAATGTTCTTATTTCTTTTGACCTGCCAAGTTGTATTTTCTCTTCCTTTTACCAAGTTATTTTTTTCTCCTTAAAAAACATGAAGTTAGTATACACCAGGTTATATGTTAAAAGAACAGAAAAGAGAGTCAAGACACTGAGGTCAGTAATTAAGAGCATTTAATATATAACAATGTTAATTCAATGAAAAAAAAGATGTATTATTTAATACAGTGCTGGTACATCTGGTTATTCACCTGGAAAGAAACGAAATTAAACCCATTTTTCTTCTGTATATTTTATATACAGAAATATAGTCAAGATTGATTAAGGACTTACATGTAACAAATAATAACAATAAAATTCTTGCAAGAAAGCAGTGGGTAAAACAATGTGCATTTTAAAGGCAGGATCTAATTTCCAAATGTTCAGAAGCTATAAAAGAAAAGATGTACGTATTTCATTATGTGAAGTTGTAACTGTGTTCTAAAACTTCCATAAACAAAATCAACAGGCACATAATAGNACAATAAAATTCTTGCAAGAAAGCAGTGGGTAAAACAATGTGCATTTTAAAGGCAGGATCTAATTTCCAAATGTTCAGAAGCTATAAAAGAAAAGATGTACGTATTTCATTATGTGAAGTTGTAACTGTGTTCTAAAACTTCCATAAACAAAATCAACAGGCACATAATAGGTTAGAAAATTTTCTTTACAGATTACAAATAAGATTATATAAATAACTTCTACAAACTTACTAGAAACGACAATTTTAACAACCAGAAAAGTTTTGCATANGGTTAGAAAATTTTCTTTACAGATTACAAATAAGATTATATAAATAACTTTTACAAACTTACTAGAAACGACAATTTTAACAACTAGAAAAGTTTTGCATAGNTTAACAACCAGAAAAGTTTTGCATACCAATTCATAGACAAATTCATATAATCAACAAATATATCAAATGATGCTCAAGTTCACAAGTCATCAGAAAAATGAAGATTAAATAATAAAAAGACAGGAAAAGGTTTTCAAAGCCACCTATAAATGGCTGAGGGAAGGAGTGGGGAGGGGAGCAGGAGAAAGATACTTGTACATGGTTATGGGAAATTTTCCATTTTGGAAAGTATTCTGGCCATATAGAAGAAAAAAAGAAAAAAAAAAAAAGACCAACAGAGAAGCTCATGCGTATAGGGATATTTACTTCCGCATTATTTGTAGTTAAAAAAAAGGGAAATAAAATGAATGCCCATTATTCATACACTTATTTATTTGTTCCTTTGCTGCTTTATTGGTTTATTGAGGCCCAGGCATTGTTGTGGGTCCTGGGAACACATTAGTGAGTAAAACAGGTAAAAATTGCTGTGGAAGTGGAGTTCACGTTTTACGAGGAGAGACAAAGTAACGAACAAACTTAGTAAGTAAACAGATGATCTGGACTGTTAGAAGGTGAGAGAAATGGAATAAGTAGGACTGAGAAGGCCAAAGGATGGGTGCGCGCATTGCATTTGATGGGGAAAGGGGTAGGGGGGGAGAGCAGTTTAAGTGGGTTGGTCAAAGTAGGCTGCATTGAGAAAATGCCATTTGAGAAATGACTTGAAAGAGGTGAAGGAGTGAGCCATGTGGACACCCAAGGAAAGTGACAGAGTGACAGCAGAGTGACAGCCAGCACCAAATGCCCTAAGATCATAGTATGCCTGGTCAGTGTCTCAACCTAGGCTCAACAATGAATATATATTTAGATGTATTGATGGTTTGGGTCATCGAGGTAACTGTTGTGGGGCCGTCCTGTGCAGTGTAGGGAATTTGGCAGCATCCCTGATCTCTGCCACTAGTTGCAGTAGCACTTCTCTCCTAGTCTTGACAACTTAAAATGTCTTTAGAAATTGCCAACTATTCCCTGGGGGCCAAAATCACCACCTTTCCAGCCCCCACTTCAGTTGAGAATCTGGAGGAACAACCTGGAGGCCAGTGTCACATGTTAAACACAGCATGCAACATCATGCAGTCACTAAAACAGTTTCATGTATGCATTCGATGTGTAGGGATTTCCAAAAGATATTATTAAAGGAGTGAAGGAATATGCAAAATGATTGTATAGTATGATCCA